GAAGATAATGGCTTGTTATTTATTAGCCAGCTGCAAGCTGTCCAAACTGCTTGGCCTTGTTCAATTTTCTTGTCTCAGTTTCCCTATTCCTCCTGCCCTGGAATGTTCCTAGCTTCTTGCTATCCTGTAACACACCTATCCCCCTCTCCCCCGTCCCCCTTTGGCCTTCACCACACTATTCTCTGTGTTCATGGGACATTGCCAACATTGTCCAAGGCCCTTGGTGGGCAGTGAAGAGCTACACAGTGAGGCGAGCCCGCGGTCTCTGGAGCGAGACCCCTCACGGGGCTGATGTACTCATTGTCTCCCCTCTGGTGTCTCGTGCTTAGCTGACTCCTGTCCTTCATTTAGATGCCGACTGGAAGTGCTTCCCATTGTCCCCGTTCCTAACCCCAATATAGTTCCTTCCAGCTCTGAGCAGCGTCTGAAATTCTCATGTTTATTAATGCAGTTTTACTCACTGCTTTGCCCTGTCCCAACTTCTTGAGAGCGGGACCATGTCTACAACAAAGCCTGGCACACAGTAGAGGCCCAGTAAATGCTTGTGGGAAGAATGATGCCCTATGCTCTGACGCTCATTCCCACGAACCTGCACCTGGGAGGGTCATGTGTACAGGAGGCTGGTGGTGCCTGGGCCCAGCAAGCCCACCTGCTCCCTCTTCCTGGCCTTCCCTTTAGTTTCAGAGGAGAGGTGTCCTTCACCTCTCTGGGGTTCCCCAGCTCCCCGGGCTCTCAGACGTCTAGGAGGCCTCCTTTATCCTTACTCTCTCTTTCTCCGCCTTACCACCCTCCATTGATTGTTGCTAAAAATCCCTCCTTCGCCTTTGTCTCACCCATCTCCTCCCCCGCTTTGTCATGTAAACCTCTGAAATATAGGCTCTTCTCAACTTGGGACTTGAGGAAAGATTCACAGAGTCAGTAACCATTAGAAATACTGCACAGGAATTTGTCTGTATTGCTCACAAGTGGGGTTTCATCCCAGAGAGAGGATTCATAGCTTTAGAGTCTTACCTCCAAAAATTAAGAATCTTGGGGTGTTTACTCCATGTTAGTTATGAAAGCAACTGTTTATTAAAGACTGTATTTCCAGAGGAAGGGGTCTTCAGAGGCACTTGCCAAGCCTTGTGTCAGGAACTCGGCTTTGAAGGCTGCATGCCTCTTCCTGGGCGGTTATTGGGCCAGTTCTGGGCTGGACACTTAGAGAGGGAGAGGGCCCTGGAGGGTCAGCCATGCTCATGGGAAGGAGGGTAGGTGCATGTGGGGTGGGGGGTTGATGATGGTTATCTTTATCTCAGCTATAAGTACCATTGCATGGTTCTGCCAAGCTCTTTCCCTTTAGCCATGAGGCCAGCAGGCTCCAGATAAGAGCTGCTGGAACTCCTTCAACTGATCCATTCAGGCATGCATTTTAAGCCAATAAACATTCACTAAGTCATATCCTGTGCTTGTGAGGTCTTTGAGCACAGAACTACAGAGGGGCAAGAATCCTATATAATAAAAGGCTAATGTGCAAATTGTCCCCACGGGCGGGAGTTCAACCAACTGGGAGTTAGATGTGCACTGACCACCAGGGGGCAGCGTGGAACATGGTGGGTGCTGGCAGCTGGTGGCAATGGAGGAGCTGTGGCCCCATGGCAGGATGGTGGAGAAGGTGAGTGGGTGGTGGCAGGCAGCCGGGGGAAGGGAGGCCCCAGCCAGCAGCCACTAGGGACCCTACCCATGCACAGATTTCATACCCTGGGCCTCTGGTTACTCTAGAGCACTCATGGAGTACTTACTGTGCACCAAGCACTTTTCATATCAATCAACTGTTTTAAGCACTTTTCATATCCGTCAACATCATGCTTCATTGCAGAACATGAGAGGCATGCTCATTAAGTTCAGGAAAGAAACATAAAAAATGAGCTATTGTTTTTATCGTACAATTTTGGGACAGTGCAATGAAAAAAATCAGAATACATAATTATTAGAAGAGACAAAGTATTACTAGTTACAGATATGTTGATTTTGATCCACAGACAATCTAAGAGAGTAAACAGACAAACTATTAAAATTGGTAAGTAAAGTCCCACAAGCTTTATGGAGTGGGATGAGCCTCTTCCTATCTCTTCTCTCTCGTCTGAGTCTCGCAGAGCCTTCTGAAAGTCGGGGATCCCCTGCCTGGGCGGCTGGAAGGTAGGTCATGAAGAGCCAGGAAGAGAGTGGATATGAAGAAACTGTGATCACAAGGCACTTTGGAGAATGTAAAGATGGGTGTTCACGTGGGACGTTAACAAGATTTTGACAATCTAGTAGGTGCATTCTCCTTAATGGTCCTAGAAGAGTGGCTGGAACTAGAAGGCAAAGAATAGCGGGAGTGGCCCATTCGGAAGAGAAGGTGGGGCTGAGAGGCAGCTCATTCAGTGGCAGGAACTTATGGTCTCCCCTCGCCCCATTTTTCTTCACTCCCCATACCTAATCCTACTTCCGATAGCACTTCTTGATTTTGCTTTGGAAAACTGCAGGTCTCTATTGCATGCAGTCGTGGTGAAAAATCAGTCGAGGCGTTTCCTAGGCAAGGGCCTATGAAACAAGCCAGTGAGACTCTGGGTCCCCAGGAATCTGACTCCTGTGCGGCTGCCCTGTGCCCCCTGGGAAGAGTGCTCGCCAGGTCTGACCTCACTCTGGTTCTGAAGAGCTGAGTTTTCACTTTTTTCTTTGATTCTGTGAGCTACCCAACCCCCTCTTTGATTCTTGTTCCGGTCAACCAGACACAGTTTCTGTTGCTTCCAATTAAAGAACTGCCAATGCAATTTATGAAACTTTAAAGGGTCTCCTGTGCCAAGGGTATATTATTATTGTGAAAGTAAAGCCTCACAAAGCTAAATAAACTCTCCTCCATATGTTTAAAAATAAATAAATAAATAAATAAATAAATAAATAAATAAATAAAGAACTGCCAATGGAGCAGAGAGGTGAGGCTCCTGGGGAAATGGAGAGTGACACATGCCAGGCTCTGGGTCACAGACCATAAATAAATATCTCACTGTATTCACATAAAATCCACATAAAGTAGCCATTGTTACCCCAATTTGCAGATGAGAAATTGCTTGATCAATGTCACTGCAAGTGAATGACAGAGAGAAAGCCGTAATCTAGGTTCTGTGTCCGACGGTGTGTCAGTGGATTTCCCCAGGCCCTGTAGCATGTGCTCATGAGCTTGCCGGGTCTCCAGCCACCTGGAGTCAGGTGTTTGTTCACCAACTGGTTCAGGCCTCCCTATCTCCCCGCTTCTCCCAGTGCAGGACCTAATCTGTACAGAGGCCTTGGAAGGCATCCGGCTTTCATAAAATCCCAGTCAGGTCTTACCCCTGAAACAATTTTGTCATTCGGCATTTTGACAAAAACAAAACAAAACACAATTTGAGCAATTTGGCCATGGTTTCATTTCCATATCTCTCTCCATTCTAATCGCAATCTTTCCCAAATTGTGTTTCAACATTTTTATTACATGCTTTCCCGTTTGGAAGTCTGATTTTTAAGCTCACCCAGAGGACTCAAGTATACAAGTTGGCTCTTTGTTCATAATTAAAGTCAGTTAGGCTGGAAGCATTTCCAAGAGAGGCCAAAGTGCTTGCTGGCCACATTGGAAAATGAACTGTTTGACAGATTCTAACTCTCCAGGACTTGGGGCCAACAGAGCTGTGAGGGCTGAGCAGTGCTGGCGCCTGGGGGGGTGGGGGTGGCAGCCCCCAGTCCTTCCCCTCCTGGCTCAGATAGAGTTGACCATCATTCCAGACTTGGCTTGCGTCCCAGCTGCACCACCGCCTAGCTGGGAGATCTCAGCCAGGTTACTGAATTTCATCGAGTCCCCTTTTTCTCATCTGTCACATGATTTATCTTTAAGGCCGTGTTTCTCCACTTGACTCACTCATTTTTGGTCAAATTATATCTTTGTTTAAATATATTTTTGAAAATATATGTATATTATAACTCAAATGAAAACCCAGTATCAGTGCTGTAAGTAGAAGGTATATCTAAAAAAAAATAGCACAAGTATAGAATAACTAATATATAATGAAATCTCCTCTAACACCAGCCTGTGTACCACCAGTGATATGCTGACCCAGTTTTGGAAACATTGCTCTAAGGCAGTGATGGCGAACCTTTTGAGCTCGGCGTGTCAGCATTTTGAAAAACCCTAACTTAACTCTGGTGCCGTGTCACATATAGAAATTTTTTGATATTTGCAACCATAGTAAAACAAAGATTTATATTTTGATATTTATTTTATATATTTAAATGCCATTTAACAAAGAAAAATCAACCAAAAAAATGAGTTCGCGTGTCACCTCTGACACGCGTGTCATAGGTTCGCCATCACTGCCCTAGGGTGTGTGGTATAGGACCTCAAATGTCTTCAGTCGGGACCTCCCCAAGTCCTCCAATTATCAGAGGTCTGTCTTTTATTCAGTTGAAAAACAAACAGCCTGCATCTTTATTCCATGCGTTATAGCAACCCCCCCTTCCCTCTCCCCTGTACCTCTACCAGTATTTGTGTGGATTTCTAAAATGCTCATGTTTTCCCAGACTATGTGAGCTACCCACCTTTTTAATAGTGCCTAGCTCCTAACTAGCAATCTAGATTCCAACAAGGCCCAAATTACATCCCAAACCTCTCTTCTGAACTGCAGGTTCCTACATCTAGCTATAGATTTGACAATTCCATTTGGATGGATATCTCATAAACACCTCAATCTTAGTATATTGAAAATAGGACTCTCCATCTTTGCCCTAAACCCAGTTTTCCCCAATCTTCCATAAGGGGTGGGGTGGGGGTGGTATTCCTCAAGTCCACATGCTCCCATGGGCCTGTTCACTGCTGTATTCCCCACTAAGAACACATTGCCCAGCACAAGGTAGACGCTTGTATTGGTCAGCCGAAGAAGCTGATATACCACAGTAACAAATGACCCCAAGTCCTAGTGACTTAGAACAGCAAAGGTTTATTTCTCACTCACGTTTATGTCTCTCTCAGCTTAGCTGGGTCTGTTCCATGTCACCTTCATCCAGAATCAGAGCTGAAGCAGCTGCCCCTACCAGGCCATGGGAGTCTGATGGAAGAGGAAAAGAGCAATAATGTACCTACATGATGGCACTTAAGCTTATGCTGCTGCTCACACCTCACTGGTTAAGACTGTCAACAGGGCATGGAAGTATAGCTCTCCCATGGACTGCTGGAGAATAATAGCACGATATACCACGGGGCTTAATAAATACTTATTTAATGTTGACATATGAATACAGCTTCAACCATGGGTCTAGGACCTGGATTTCATATGCAATTAGAAAATGGGCTTTATACTCGGGTCCCAAGCACATGCTTGGGACATAGAGCTCATCTACTTGCCTAGAGTATTAACCCCTCACATGTGGACAAGGAGTCCTGGCTTCATATGTGGGCTGAGGTCTTGGCCCCGCATGTGAACTAGGGGTCCTGGCCTCACCACAAACCTGGGACAAACTTCTCAGCCTCAGGTCTAAAGGAAGGCACAGAGTAGGGCGTGGGTGCTCTGCTTTCTGTGTGTCCTCCTGGTTCCTGTCACCCACTTCCTGTTGGCAGTGTTCCCCTAGCTTCATCTGGTGCCTCATGGGATAGGCCCCTGGGTGAGCTATGGGCTCCTCTGATGTTGTGCCTTGAGCCATGGACCTTCCAGAAGCCATTGGGAAAGGCCAAGTGCCCACCTCCATTCTCAGATCTGACCTGGGCATCAGACATCATTTTAACCCCCCTCCAATCCTTGCTGAGGCTGGCTGGCACCATACCTCACTCCCCCTACGTGCCCAGAGAGGCCACAGGCCCGCCGGCGCTGTGGTAGGTCCACCTCCGGAGCCCCTTTAGTGTGCCTCTCTCCACACTGGCCTGGGCCCCTAGCACACAGCCCAACTCCCCGAGGTCTCAGGGGCAACACATGGGGCTGGAGACTCACCACATCCCGGGACCTAACTGCCCAAGGCTCTCTGAAAACATGCATGGCCCCCGAGGGGGTAAATAGGACTGGAAGAGCCTTCTGTGGCTTGGTCTTCTGACCAAGGCTGACACTGGGTCCCATCTAACAGGCCATCCTGGAAGGATCAGGTCCTGTCCAATCTTCCCTGAGCTGGGGTCTCCTGCAGGCGGAGACAGAGGTGGGAAAACCAGGAAGTCGGGACCACAGGACACACAGCCCTGACAACTCTCTAGGTAGCTGAGGTTGGTACATGGCCACTGAGGGCCTCAAAGGTTAGTGGGGGGTAGGTCTGGGTGACAGAAACAGGAGCGATTACTACCGATACACCTGCATGGGTGCAAATGACACACACACAAGCCAAGTGCCTTTCCACAGGGTCCTGGTTAAAAAGACACAGGAGCGCAGTTCAGCTGCCAAAAAGAACCAAGAGGCTCTTCACTCGTGGGCAGTGAGAGATCTCTAGGACATATTGTTACGTTTAAATCAAAAAAGCAGGGCACAGAACAACAAGAAAGGCATGGAGTAGACTATATATTCTATTGCTTGCATCTCCTGTTGGCAAAACATGTAACAGATACTGAGAGAACTCATAAAAGTGTCTACAGGGGGCGCAGAAGAGCAAGCTAGGCAGGGATGGAAGAGTTCGTTTTTTAGAAGTAAACGTCTTTAAAATCATTTTGCTCCATGTAGACAGAGGATGCACAGAGTCGCCAATTGTCACAGACCTGGAAACTTTTAAGCCAGGAGCACTCGTTGTCACCCCCAACCCCAGCTTTCCTCCCACAAAGAACACCCCCACCCCCAGTTTTCCAGCTAGAGTCACAATTGGGGCTGAGATCATAACGCCTTAGAGCAGCTCATTTGTGTGGCAAGTGCGTCCTGCCGTCCTGGCTGCAACCCTCACGGTGGCTGCCCTCCCAGAAGAGGAGAGGACAGTGAGCTTTGTCCTGCGGCAAATGGGGACACAGAGGCCCGGAAACTTGGGGTTGGCTCCAGGAGAGGCTCCGCCAGGGCCCCCGGCTGCTGCTTTGGTCTGCCTGCCAGAGCCCAGATTGCTATGGAGGGCCGGGGCCGGCCACTCTCCCATCAGTCCATGGGGACTGAGGGATCCGTGCACGGCCATCCTCTCCCGGTCACAGTCCTGTCCCCATCTTACCAACCACACTTCTGTGCCTGCTTCCTCTTCTCCATGCTCCCCTCTCTACTCTCTCCCTGTCTGCTTGGAGACAATGCAGGCTGTTGGTTCCAGAGACACGTCTGGGACTGCAGCCAAAAGTGTTTTGTCCAGAACTCAAAAGGGCTGTCTCCCAGGATGTGGACTTTCCTGCCGGGGAGCTCCAGCATCTAAAGGAGCCGGGGAAATGCCTTTGTGGTTCTTGGAAAGATTCCACCCCCTTTCCGCACCCCGCCAGCACTTGCATAATTAGAGGTCATAAAGGAGGCCAGGACTCTTATCTTCAAATACCATCCCCCCACCCTGATGGCCTCCTTAGACCCAGAACTTTTGCCCCCCCACTTTTTGATGTGCAGTGTGAATATAGAAAGCATCGCCCTGGCCCATGGAGTGAAGGGTCTTGGATTCGATTCCAGTCAAAAGCATGTACCTCAGTTGCAGACTCAATCCTCGGCCCCGGCCAGGGCACATGTGGGAGGCAACCAATTGATGTGTTTCTCTTACATCGATGTTTCTCTCTCTGTGTCTCTCCTCCTCTCTTCCACTCTCTCTAAAAAATCAATGAAAAAAAATATCCTCAGTGAGGATTAACAAAAAAAGAAAGAAAACATATATCCCTTAAGTGAACAGCTTGACAAATCTTACACAAAAATACCCACTAACCATCACCCAGGTCAAGCCAATTTCCCAGTTCCTCCCCAACTTGTGTTGGGTCCTTCCCCTATAACCAATCCATCTCCTAGATCTGTCAGGGTTCTGTGTCCCTTATCCAATCTGATTCTTTCTCCAGGCTAGGCTCTGCCCCTGATGGTCCCCATCCTGGCTCCTACTGCACTTGCCTCATGTGGAAGCCCCTCCCCCTGTGTCATCTTTGCTTTAGCTGGGCCTGCGCCCAGCACAGGAATTTCTCCTGCTGTTTTCATTCCTCCCCAAGTCATGACTGGTAACAATCCTTTCTGATCCATTTTGATCCTTTCTGCCTGCTTCAGAGATTAGGTTCCCTGGGGAGCCTATGAATGCTGCAATTTCCTAGTGAATCAGGCTCAGTGTCCAATTCAACTCCCTACTTTATTATACTTAACTAGAGGCCTGGTGCACGAAATTCGTGCATGGGGAAGGGGGGGTCCCCTCAGCCTGGCCTGCACCCTCTCGCAATCCAGGACCCCTCTGGGGATGTCCAACTACCAGTTTAGGCCCGATCCCTGCAGTCGGACATCCCTCTTGTGATCCGGGACCACTGACTCCTAATGGCTCACCTGCCTGCCTGCCTGATCACCCCTAACCACTCTGCCTGCCTGCCTGATCACCCCTAACCACTTGCCTGCTTGCCTCATCACCCCTAACCACTCTGCCTGCCTGCCTGATCGCCCCTAACTGCCTCTGCCTGCCTACTTGATGCCCCTAACTGCTCGCCTGCCTGCCTGATCTCCCCTAACCACTCTGCCTGCCTGATTGCCCCTAACTGCTCACCTGCCTGCCTGATCTCCTCTAACTGTCTCTGCCTTGGCCCATGCCAACACAGCTTCACCTGGAAGGACGTCTGGAATGATGCCTGCAAGGTCGTTCAACTGTCCGGTCTAATTAGCATATTATGCTTTTATTTATTATAGATAACTTCTGATTCCCTTTACTCCCTTCCTTTATTAATATCTAGCTACCTACAGTAACAAAAACACTTAAGTCTAAATACAATTGAATTTTTTTATGAAAAGGAAAATGACCAAGAGGCGGTAAACCAAAATGACCAAAAGGATGGCATGAAAAACGCTTTTAACTGAATTTAAAAGTTAATTTAATTTAAACTTTAAAAGTATCTGTCACAAGCCAGTAGCTAAAGTCAAGTTTAATTAATAAGTGCTAGACGCACCTTTATTCATGTCAGGCAACAGACACATGCTCAGTGAGCTAAGGATGCAGAAACCCTTCACTGAGACCCTTGGGATCAGCTCAATCTTGTGATCAGTTTTTCAAGGCAATATTATGTACTAGTATATACTCTATATTGGGTACAACCCCAGTGGGGGCGGGGCCAGCCCTACATAATCAAGCACATTAGTATCTCAGCAGCCAAATAAGCTTCCCCAATTCTGCATATAAAGAGTACAAAGAGCTGACATTAGTTCAGGTCAGGTTTTGTTACCCAATAAGTTTGCTACAAACCTGTGAAGAACTTTTAGATTTCAGGGCTTTTAGCACTTAGGAATTGCAGATATGTAGTACTGACGATCTATGCTGTCAATCAATATGGTCCATAAAATTCTAGACAATGCCAAAAGACAGAGAAATGAGGCAAAATCATTGAAAAGGGAAGAGACAACATTTTCATTATATTAATTGTCCCTTTCAAAACAATAATAGAGTTGTACTTTAAAAAATTCAGTATTTGTCCATATAACTGACTATAATATATGTGTGTAACCATGGGTATAAGTTTGTGCACGTATGTAAGAATGGGGGGCATCCTTTTTTTTTTCCTCCCAGATGGAGACCAAGGACAGTTACAGTCCTTTGCTAATAATTTAATCCAGTCTTTTCTGTACCGCTCATTTCTAAGGCTCTCATTGTGTTGCTAGGGGAGCAGCCTTTGAAGGAGGGGGGTGGGCGGTCTGTGGCTGCTTTCTCGCCCAGCTAAGCCTGAAAGGGAAGCAAAAAAAGAGCACAGACTAAATACCACCCTGGATAGCAGTGTGATTTACTGATTCCATGCAAGTGGGCGGCAGGGGTGGAGGGGCGGTGGAGGAATGGTGGTTATTCTTCGCTAATTAAGGGGCAGCCAGGAGACATTTTCTTCCTCAGTGTGGTGAGAACTGTTTGTCTTTAAGAGATTCGTGTTTGTGTTTAATTCAAGAGATACTTCTGTCCATGCAGATGGATTAAAATTTAAACATGAAAACATCAACAAAATCATTTCAATAAGCTAGAGTAATAATTCTAAAAACTTGGTGGAGAAAGTTTTGCTTCTCAGAAGTCAGAGAGAGGTAAAACATAACTGATTTAACTATGTGGAAAAAAATTCTTTTTAATTTATGCTTAAAAGCCCCACAAATATTAAAGGAGGAAGAAATCACTAGCTTAAAATTTGCACAACTGAAATGACCATCGGAAAGTGTTATGGGCTGGATTGTGTACCCCAAAAAAGGGGTTGAAGTTCTAATCCCTGTTACCACAGAATTTGACCTTATTTAGAAATAGGGTCTTGACAAAGGCAGTCAAATTAAAATAAGGTCATTAGAGTGGCCCCAACCCCATGTGCCCAGTGTCCACATCAAAAGAGAATTTGGAAGTAGAGACAGACACACACAAGGGGAAGAAGGTCATGTGAAGGTGCAGATGGAAGTGATGCATTTTTAGACATGGAATGCCAGTAATTGCTGGCGAACCCCGGAAGCTAGGAAGAGGCCAGGAAGGATGCCCCACAGGTTGCAGAGGTGGCATGCCTGCCCGCACCTTGCTTTCAGACTCACTGCCTCCAGAACCGAGACAATGGCGTTCTGTTGTTCTAAGCTGCTCTGTGTTACCCCAGGAAACTGATACAAATAGTTAATAGTATTTAAGCGTAAAAAGTTCTTACACATTAGTAATAAAAAGAATGAAAACCCAATAGAAAAATGATTACAATATACAAGTAAAGATGCCAAGAAATACATATACTATGATCTCATTTTGGAAAATAAGCAATGATAAGGAGATTGCATATATGCATATTATGTAAGCATATATATGTGTATATGTGTATATATGCATGTATATATATGTATATATATTAATATGTCTATGTCTAGGACAGTTTATTCTTATTTCAGCATGGGCAAAAACATAAAAGTACACCTGGAAACTTCTTATCATGAATTCTCAGAAGGCTGCTATAAGGGATGGGGGTAAGGAGCAGAGGATGCCCAGCAAAATCATTTTTAAAAAATAGAGAAAGGGCCGAAACCGGTTTGGCTCAGTGGATAGATATGCATGTATATATATGTATATATATTAATATGTCTATGTCTAGGACAGTTTATTCTTATTTCAGCATGGGCAAAAATATAGAAGTACACCTGGAAACTTCTTATCATGAATTCTCAGAAGGCTGCTATAAGGGATGGGGGTAAGGAGCAGAGGATGCCCAGCAAAATCATTTTTAAAAAATAGAGAAAGGGAAAATAATTATGTATAATATGCTTGCCATCACATATGTCTGAAAAATCAAGTTACATAACAGTGTGAATAGAGCAGGATTTCCATTTTAAATTTATTTTCCAGGGTTTTTCACAGATGCCAATAACAAATTTGGGAATGCAGTGGATTCTTTTTTCCATAAAGGGGAAAATAAAAGATGGAGGAAAATCTTCAAATACGACTTCCAACCCTCTTTTTTATTGAGTTGATTTATTAAGAGCTGGGTGGTTTTCCACCCAGTCTTCAATAAATATTTGAAGCCTTGCGAAGCTTAGGACAGTGGTCTCAAACACAGCAGCCCCTCCCTCCACACCGCCTTTCATCTTGAAGTTATCTAGGAGATTCAGCGGCCTCATTTAAATAACAAAGACATTCTTCACTCAGGATCCCCAGCGCTTTAGAAGCTCATCCCCTGGGACAAAGGCCAGACAAATTGTTTATTATCCCACAGCCAGAGCAAAGGAATGAAATCCTGATACAAACTGAAACGGGATGAACCGCAAAAGCATTATGGTAACTGACGGAAACCAGACACAAAAGGTCACGGTGTCGGTTTCCTTTTATGTGAAATAACCACAATAGGTGAGTCTGTAGAGACAGCACACATTGGTGGCTGCCAGGGGCTGGGGAAGGGAGAAGCCGGGAGAAACCACTCAGTGGGAACAGGGGCGAGCGGTTGAGCCAACCCTGAAGCCCCCTCTCAACCTCTCAAGAGAGATAATACATGTCCTTTCTGTTCACAGATACTTCCTTGGCTGTTGTCTTATTTGCTCCCAAGAGATACATGCCAAGGTGGCTGAGGCCAAACCAAGTTTATGGACGTTTCTTCAAGCTTGTTGCTCAGGGGAAGAGGGGAGAAACCCCCAGGGCAGGCATGCAGGGCTATGCTGGTCTGATCTAGTCCTCTCCCCTCATGGAGGCCCGGAGGCTACAGGGCCAAGGTGGAAGGCACAGGACCTAGCACTGGGATAGAGGTTGGCACCCCTCTGTGAGTCACAGTGAAAAAATGAGCGCTTTAGAAAGAGATTGCATGGGCCTGTGTTCTGGTTATTCACTTTGTCCTCCCTGTGCAGTCTGCCCTTCTCTGTCCTGTTTCCAGCTCCAGACGTCCAGACGCAGTTCCCATCATGCAGCTTCTCACCCTCTGGCTTCCATTTGGGTTGGGCCAAAGGGAGCAGGTGTCTGGAGAGTGGGGGTGGGGGGAGAGATCAGGGTGGTTAGTCTTCCCATTTCCTCTTCCCCTCCCTGTGGTTCTGATAGTGGTTGCTTCCTTTAGGGCCACTGTTCTTGCTAGGAAATTCGTGTGTGGCTTGTGAGGGACAAAAACAGGGCACTGTGATCAATCTAATCAAAATTATCCCGCAGAGTGATGCGATCACGAATTTCTAACTGGGCAGGTCATGGTGGGCAGTCTTGCCCCAGACATATAACTTCTTTAGCAAAAGATTACCTTTGCCTAAGACCTGTCCATTGTTTCTGTGTGTCTAGGTTAACACACCTTTGAAATAGCAAAAACACCCTCAAGAGAGCGCATAATCTTAGCTATCCTGTAATCCAATCATGGTCGCTTTCTCCGACCTTCATGTAATCTTTCTTATGTCCCTCCTTAATTCCAGTTGCATAAAAGAATCTGCAAAAATGTCATTCTCTGGCGCACTTGAGATCTTGCTTCCTGGCAATCATTGTCATTTGGGCTCAAATAAACTTTTATAAAAATTCTTGACAGGTTTGGGCATTTCTTATGTTGACAGGCTCCAGCCCTCGTGGGTCCAGCCCTGCCAGCTTCTGCAGGCCTAGCAGCTCCCAGGCTGGCTGCTGACCCTGCCCTGTTCTGGCAAATAACTGTGTCATTTCATTCTCTTCCATTCAGCTCTGTAAGCACGACACCTGTCTCCCGTGGAATCTGGGACAGATGTGCTGCCTCTGGAATTCCTTGGATGCAAAGGGAAAAATGAAGTATGCCGACTGCCAGCAGCTGTGCTGATTGTCGCTGAAGTTATCACAGGGCCCGGAGTAAATCACAGCTGCTGAAGGGTGATACTAAAATGTGTGTAATTGGGTCCTGTTCTATTTAAATATTGAGATAGAGTATGGATGATAGATAATGGACAGATGATAGGTGATGGGTAGATGAGAATATGTTTTATAAAAAAGAGATTTTGAAAGATTTATCTGAATATTGATAATGAGTATCTTTGATAATATCTTTTGGTGTTATCCGTTTTCTGTGGCTACATAACAAACTCCCAAACCTTAGTGGTTTCGTATTGCTCACAGAAAGCGCGATGTGGCTCACCCGGATGGTTCTTCTGGCCTCACCCAGGCTTCTTTGTGCACCTGTGGTCAGCAGTAGGTCCACAGAGGCTCTGCTTCTGGGGTTTGGCTGGTCATCAGCTGGGGCAACAGGGGAGAGGGTGACCAGGCCTCTCATTTTGAATGAGTGTTTCTCTCAGTCTCCCGTAGGCCAGTCAGGCTCGGCTACGCGCAATGCTCTCCAGTTTCCAAGGGGAACAGCAACACATCAGAACTTTCCAGGCGTCTGCTTGCCTCACATTTGCTGCTGTCGCATGGCCTGGTGCAGTCAGCATGAGAGGGGCTGAGCAATGACAGAGACCCCACAGGGGCTAACTAATTGGCGCCTTTATTGCAACTGTCTACCACAGAGCCAAAAGCAGCCTGTTGAGTGCAGAAAGCACGAGATGTGGAGGTTAGCACCTCACTCCTAGGTCAGCTCCAACCTCAGCAGACCTCAGGGGTACATCAGCAGAATGGGACTATACACAAGAACAGCAACAGCAACACACTGCTCAGGTCTAAGGCCCAACCCCCAAGGTGCTCATCAAGTGGATGTGCAGGGGCTGAGCTGTGGCTGACTCTGTAGACATGGCACATGCCCTCTGCTCACCACACCCCATCCTGACACAATTGCCAGGGCTCCATCATCACCACCAGCATCCTGAAAGGGACATTGTTGTGTTATGCTTATGATTTGCCACTCTTGGGGGAGTAGCCTGAGTAGACAGCAGAGACAGCTGAGATTAAAGATAGCAACACCCCAGGTGGGCAGGGACTGAGGTGGCACTGTGATGGGGAAACCTAGACCAGAGGAGAGGGAGTAGGGAGTGGGGTCCAGAGCACAGAAGGTCTGCATGTCTTCCAGGTCAGGCTGATTAATTTACGTTCTATCTCCCTCCTGATGGAGAACTTGCTGGTGGAAGGGACAGGTTTTACAAGGCATTTGGTCTGTCTCCATGGAGTTGCCTTCTCTGGCATGTTCCACTCTTATAGCCTCCTCATTTAGCCTCACCCCCGGTCCACACGAACAGGGCGGGGACAGAGAGAGGACTTGCTGGCCTGAGCCACCACGTGGTCAGTGAAGAAGCTAGACCTGAATTCACAGACTCTGGACCCATCACTCTGTGGCTCTCACTGCCTGGCACTGGGGTTTTGATGGAGAATATTCATGAAAAAAATGAAAGTCACGCCCTGTGGTGGGTGTGTGCCAAGTGCCTTTCATGGACACAGCCTCACCACAGTCCTCTGGGGTGGGTGTCATTGGCCTCACTTCAGAAGCACAGACTGAGGCCCAGGCTGGAGCTCCGCACTCCTTGTCCCAGAGCAGTTGGTGGCAGGCAGTATATGAACCCAAACCTGCCACATATCTGTGCTCTGTACCCCACACTGAGCTGATGTCCCCCAGACCTGAACCAACGGGGGTCTTTTCATGAAAGCCATATTTGAATCCACACTCAGCCTAACAGATCCGGAGAGTGTAGCAGTTCGTGGAAAACCGAAAGCTTCCCTTCGTTACTACCACCTCAGCAGAGGACGCACTGCAAGGTATAGTGGAGTTACTTAACGCATTTCCTGCATGCTGTATCCACATTCACGAGAATAACATATACAAGGTTCTTTTAAGACATGCATATTATTCTACAACTGTCTTTATGTTTTTCCCCTTAATCTATCACAAAACTATTTCCATAGCAGTACATACATGTCTGCCTCGATTTTTAATGGCTGCATGACATTTGTATTAATTATTTTCGGCTATATAACAAATTATCTATATTAGTCAGAGTTCTTCAGAGAAACAGAACCAATCGGATGTGTAAATATAGAGAGAGATTTATATCAAGGTGTTGGCTCAGGCAATTGTAGGGACTGACAAATCTGACATTTTCAGGGCCTGCTGGCAGGGCAGAGGCCCAGGGAAGAGCTGATTTGCAGAGTCTGAAGCAGAATTCCTTCCTCTCCTGAGTCTTGTGTCTGAAAGCCTTCAGCAGAATGGGCGAGGCCCACACGTATTATGGAGGGTCATCTGCTTTATTCAAAGTCTATCAACTTACATGTTAATCTCATCTAAAACTACCTATCTAGACTGGTATTTGGCCCCAAACTGGGTATCATAGTGTAGCCAAATTGACACGTAAATTAACATCATATCATCCAAAACTTTAGAGACTGAAAACTACAAAGATTTGTTATTTCTCATGGTGCTGAGGGCTGCCAGCCTGGGTGTGCCTTCCGCTGGTTTCATCAATGATCACGCATGTGGCAATAGTCATCAGATGGCTTATCTAAGGCCCGGGAGGCCCAAGAAGACCTTGCTCACATCCAGCAGTGCTGGTTGTCCACTAGGGCGAGGTGCCCTCCATGGGGACCCCCAACCACCCCCCTTAGCAGGCTGGACCAGTCTTTGCTATAACATGTAAGGCTCAGCGTGACGGCAGAAGCTGTGAGGGTCTGGCACAAGGCCACTCCCACATGTTGTGTGTGTCACAGGCCGGCCTTTAAGGGTGAAAAACAGGCCCCAGCTCGTGCTGTGCGGGGCTGTAGTCATATTGCAGTGGAGCATGGACACAGCTGGCGTGAGTCATCTGCTTACTTCTGCATCGTAAGCCAGCTCCCCCTCTGTGGACAGAATCCAGCTCATTTCCCATTTCTGCTCTTACAAAGAATGCCCCAGTGGGCATTTTGGACCACATGCCAGCATCCTTGAGCAAGTCCTTCTGTAGGGCAGATTCGTAGACATGCAATTGCTCAGAACAGGGCACGGGATGTCTAATTGCCTCTTTTCCTACACCCTCGACAACACTAGTCATTCACAGACTTTTGCATTTTTGCCACTCTGGTGAGTGATAAATGCCATATATGGTCATTTACATTTTCAGTTCCTTGATTGCTGGAAAGTCGAGTGTGGTTTTATGTGTTCATAGTACTTTCATAACTGGAAAAATCTACTAAGATACCTACATTTTTTTAAATACAAAAGTATCAAGAAATGGAGGCCTAGAGCACTCCTGCCCCGTTATCTTGCCCCAGCCTTTACACAGGGAAAGGGGCCCATGAGTGCATCTTTTCTTGGGGGCTAGGAAGGTTTTTATTTGTTCTGAATCTCAGCATCTGAAGCGATGTCAGAGCTGGAGGAATATAACGGCCTCCCAGCACAAGAGCTCCATTTTATGGAGGGAGAAACTGAGGCCCTGGGAGGAATGCCTCCTGGCTGAGGTCTCACAGTGCATGAGGGACCAGCACCCAGATCTATTGACTCTTGTGAATAAGAAAGACAGAAAGAGACCAAAGAAAAGAGGGCAGGCTGTGTGCTCTCTCCCCAGGTGAAAGGCTTGCCCAAGGTTGGCCTGGCTCTCCCCACCTCATCCAGAGGTCAGGGAAGTATGTGCCCTCTTCCTACATAATGTCCATGAGCATCTGCAAGGCCCCTGAAGAATCGCATAGAAATTTCAATGGTTGGTTCAGTAAATGACATATCCAGCGCCATCCCCTAAGGCAGTGATGGCGAACCTATGACACGCATGTCAGAGGTGACACGCGAACTCATTGTTTGGTTGATTTTTCTTTGTTAAATGGCATTTAAATATATAAAATAAATATCAAAAGTATAAATCTTTGTTTTACTATGGTTGCAAATATCAAAAAAATTTCTATATGAGACACGGCACCAGAGGTAAGTTAGGGTTTTACAAAATGCTGACACGCCGAGCTCAAAAGGTTCGCCATCACTGCCCCAGGGGGAGGAAGAGCTTGTCTCCAAGACAGATCAAACGTCTCCTCCTAGGGCCTCCTGGGGTCAGGGCTGCTTGACACCTCCTGTCTCCTGGTCTGCAAACCAGTGCTCAGAACCTGCGGTGTCCTCGCGGCCTGACCAGAGGGGGGCAGCGGAGTGCAGCAGAGGAACGCGGGATCGGGTTCTGCTGGAAACCTCTGGCAGGATGGCAGTGGCCCAGAGTCACGTTTCAAGACCAGGACAGAGCCAAACACAAGTTGGGCTGAAGTCCCACAGGAAACATCTTAATACGTTCCATACATTGGGAGCGTCTAGCCTCGCTAAATCAACACTGTTGAGTGTCCCTCTGTGCCTGGGTCAGATGGCTGGTTATGTCGCTCAGTGGTGAGGACCTGGTGTGAGCCATGCCTATTTTTACACACTGGTACTGAGGTACCACTGCGGAGACCAAGTACGGGGGTGAGAGCTGCCAGGTTTCTGTGCTGGCTACGGAGCTGTTAATGAGAGCGGAGCATTTACGGGGCACTTCAGCTCTTAGCAGGCATCGGCATCCTCCTCACTCCTCTTCTCCTGGGCTCCCAGGGCATGCATCGCCTGCACAGTGAGAACCAGTTTTGCTGTCTCTCTCCCTCTCCGTGCCAAGTGTGTGTAATTGATTGACCCAGTTCCACGTATAGATGATGCAAAGCCCTTGTGTGTGCCTTCCCTCCCTGGTGGCCCTTTCATCCCATTGCACAATGGAGAGTGGGGTTACATGAGCCCAGAGGCCAGCACACAATTCAGTACGTCCAGGACTTTCTGCTGCCTCTTGAGTAACTGGCCTTTGACAGGGCAGGCGAGGGGACCCATGGAGACTTTCCTGCCAAGATCAAGGCCCCCAAATGTCTGAGCTCTCCCTTCAGCCTCTATTGAACACGTGGCCACCTCCTCCTCCCTCACTCCTGCCTGGCCCAGTCTGGGCCACTCCACCCCAGAATCTCAGAGAGTGGCTCCAGGCACAGCCCAGGAGAAGGGGCCTGGGAAGACCATCCCTCTAGGGCAGGGCAGACTCTCCACCCCTTCACCCTCCCCGCCCCCCAAGCTGAACTCCCCCAAATATGGGTTCCTTAGGGGGTGGCACTGAAGTCAAAATTAGATGTGAAACATAAGAGTAAAGCAAAATAAATAAATAAATCAGCTAAAAGATAATCACATTTTAAAGTCAGAGATTAAATTCCATGCCGTCAGGATGAATTATAGACTATACAGGTCATTTTCTTTATTTCATTTTATTTTGCTTCTTTTAACTATTGCAAACTTTTATTATAGAATGCCAGAGATGAAAAAACACATGTGTAAAAAGTAGAAATTACTCAATTGTCTATTAACTATGCTCAGCCTCATGACTGAATAATCAAATTTCAGAAGCTTTTCCCCCCTTATTTATTTATCTATGTATTTATTGGTGTGCAGGTCGTTTTAAATGGAATTCATTGCTCGAATGAATCTCTCTCCACTTCCTATGTTCACATACCCAAAATCCCAGTCAGCTCAGGAACTCACCCTTTTTCTGGGTCTGTGCCCATCTCCGTGTATTGAGAAGGAGTTGGCTTGAGCCTGGACATTCATCCTGGCCCCTGCTCTAGGGTCAAGGACATTTAGAGACCAGATGCAGGTCCAGGTGACTGTGGGTGCACACCATCCACCCAGCATCTTTGGGAAGGGGGAGGGGAAAGAACGCACAGGCAGCTGTGGAGGCCAGGACTGCCACACTTCACGGGCAGTTACTCTCTCAAAGGGTGGCCTGTCACCCTGGGGTATTGAGATCCCAGACTCCACGTGTTGAGAGGAAAGGACAAACCCCCCCTGAAAAGTAGGATCCTAGGACGGGGTCTTCAGGGGCCACATCGCAGGGGGATTAGCAGGCCCATCCGGCAGCACCACCCTGGCCGTGGGAACAGCGCCTGTGCAGTTGCGTCTGGTGCACTTTGTTATCATTATCACGAGAACTAAAGAGCGGCAAGAGGACTAGAAGTGCAGGCACTGGTGCAGACGTGTATCTCTCCTAAACCAAGTGAAACGAGTGAGACGGCAATGGCTAGGGGGGCTGAGGAAGAATGCCTGGGGCCACTCACTTGGGCTCTGGACTCAACCAGCAGTTGGATGCCATTATGAAAACAAAGGACAACGCAAAAATGCAGCCAGAAATGCTGGAATGTGTCATCAAAGGCATGTCTGAAAACGGGAGGTGACCCAGGATCCCGTCCTGTTTGAGCGCTCTGGAAACGGACCCCCGCCACGCCCCACTCACACACAGACCAGACGTAGTAGTGAAGCCTGTGGGGCAGTTCGCAATCGCACAGTGTCTTCCTCAGAGGGCATGATGGATAAAAGTGGACAGTGGGGTCCCCTGAGGTCAGCATCTGCCATATTTCAAAGCCACGTGCCTTTATGAAGAGCCCAAGGTTTGTGCACCTCTTGATTCCAACTGACCTTTCTCCTGAGATGCTTGCATACCCTGCCTCCCTCCCACTTAAACACACATATGCCCAGAGCTCTGAATCAGGGGACTTAATCCAGTGCCTCCAGCTCTACCAGGGCTGTACCTGCCGTCCCTGCCTGGGCTGGGGGCAGCCCCCTGGAGGTGGCAGGTGGGACCTGCCACAAACATCCGGAGGGGGCGGGGGGTGAACACAAAAGCCTCCTGGGAAGGGCCCGGCCATGTCCCAACAGCAGGAGGGAGAAAGGCAGGAGCAGCAGCAAGGTGCAGTGCCCGGGTCAGTCAGAAGGCGTAGTTGGGCAAGGCGATAGCAGAGGCTCCCATTTTTAAGAAAAGACAGAAATCTAGATTTTTACAGAAAATGAGAAGTTTTAAAATCATAACAAGATCAAACAACGTGTGTCCGCAGGCTGGAAGCTTGCAGGGGGTGGGGACAGGGGCTGCGGTGTCCTGACTGACTGGTGTCCCTGTGGTGTGTGGCATGTCACTAACATTCACAATAATTCCTGGGTGGATGAATGAAGAAGTGGATGGAGGAGAGGTTTGGCAGGATACCCGGTTCCCACGGGGTGGGAGGTTTGTTTACCCCGTATCCCATGGGAGAACCCAGTGTCCGGTGGGAGCATGCCCATGGAGGTGTTGGAGCTGGCATGGACACGAGGGCTGGCTGGCAGCCAAAGCAGCAAGGAGCTGGGGTAGGGTCAGCCTTAGGGGCCCCTATTAACCCTCCAGTTGTCCAACAGCTCCCACTCCTTAAGCCAGCGGTTCTCAACCTGTGGGTCGCGATCCTTTGGGGGTCGAATGACCCTTTCACAGGGGTCGCCTAAGACCCTCGGAAAACACATATATAACTACATATTGTTTTTGTGATTAATCACTATGCTTTAATTATGTTCAATTCGTAACAATGAAATTGGGGTTCACCACAACATGAGGAACTGTATTAAAGGGTCGCGGCATTAGGAAGGTTGAGAACCACTGCAGGCTTAAGCCCTCATGCCTGGTTTAACACAAACACCAGGACCTGAGTTAGCACAAGCCATTGAGAAAGGAGCACCTTATACCCCCAGCATTGCCTTGTGCAGCTTTTCCCTGGAGGCCTCCATCCCAAGAGAAAGGCCAACAGGGCAGGGGCGGGGCCGGCCAGCCCAGGGGGCCACGGGGGGACTTCGGGTGCCCAGGACTTCATGGTTCTCTGCCTTCCGCCTGTCCACTGAGGAGAATGAAGCTGTTCACCCAAGTCTTCCCTCGAAGTGTATGTAGGGGGGTCTGTGCACATATGCGATGGACATCCATGCTCCTTTGAGGTGTGTGCAAGACTTGCTGTATGTATGCACACAGCACTGCAATGTGTGTGTGCAGGGAGGCGTGCACACGTGTGCAAGCATCTGGTGTGTCAATGTCTCTGTGCGTGCAGACCCTGGTTACGTGTATTTGTGAAGAGCACGGTATGGATGTGTGCGCGCCCTTGTAGGTGTCCCACCTGCAGTGGCTCCGTGCAGTGGGCGTGTACACAGGCTGTGTGGGTGCACCCTGCTCTGTGTGTGTGAGTGCCTATGCACATCCCGCCGTGTGTGCCTGTGCGCCTACCTGCTCTCCTGGTGGGTGCCTGTGCCCTGGCCGCTCCGCTGTCCTCCCAGGCCTGCCCTCTGACTCTCCAGCTGCAGGCGGCAGGCTGAGTGGCTCTGAGTGCCCGAGATGCCAGGTGCCAAGACCTAACCACGGGCTGAGGGCTCGGAGGGGAGCGCCCCGCCCCCGAGGAAGGTCAGGGCGGCCGCATTCTTGAGCGCACACGTGGGCTTGAATTCGTACATTCCATTCATAACTTTCCTGCCAGCGGGGGAAGGGAGGACAAAGCCAGAGAGTTAGTGACTGAAAGCGAAGAAGAAAGAGAGGCTGCTTGCAGCTGCGACTGTGAGCTTCCAGCCGCCAGATGCATGAGCACGTGAGCAGTTCACCAGGCAGCTGGTGGCTGTCTGCGTAGGACCGGGGTCCTCCCTCTCACAAGCGACCTTTACGGCTGTGGCTGGCAAAGGGCCGTGGGGCGGTGAAAGCCAGAGACAGCCAGGGTGTCTTTGGGCAACAGAAGCACCCCATAGGTCCCTTGTGTGGTAGGTTTTATCACTCCCATTTTACAGATGGTGAAGCTGAGGGTCAAAGAGATGAAGTAGCTTAATATACTCATTCTCCGTGCTGGTATCTCCTCCTCCCCATTACCCACATCCAGGCTCCCTCCAAAGCCTCCCTGGTGCCCCCGGCCCATGCTCTTGGCCTTGCATGTGCTGTCCCATTTGCTCTTGGGGGATCTGTCCTCCCCAGCTAAACTGCCTTCCCCGAGGACAGGGCCTGTGCCTTACCTGTGTTGGCCAGTAGGCAGGGGGAGTTGAGGGCGGGCAAGGCTGGGGTCTAGCTCAGGGCTGGGGAACCTTTTTTCTGCCAATAACATCATTCAAGAGCCATACAAAATTATCAACTTAAAAATTAGCCTGTTATATGTGGTCAAACATTTAATTAACTCACCCTTAATGCCTTGGCAGGGCCAGACCAAATGATTTCGCGGGACGTTCCCCACCCTTGGTCTAGCCAGTGGGAAATTCAGCCTTGTGGGACAGTGAAACATGACCCCACGTGAAGCAGCAGCGAGAGAACAGGAGAGGAGGAGCAGAGCCTGACTTGGCTCTGGGTTGGCAGGGAAGCAGGTGGGGTAGAGAAAGGGGTATGGTTAAAGGAGCCAGCCAGCATGGCTGGGCCAAGATGCTGCTGGGACAGCTGTGGCCGTGCCCAGAGCTGAGTAGGGACAACATGGAGAAGACAACTTAATTCCAGGTCTCACTGGCCCTGGCCAGGGCTGGGGCCAGCGAGCATGCAGGTTTGTGTGTGTCTCTGAGGAGCTGGGGGAACTGGGGAGTTGAGGAAGGGGCTGGCAGGGCAACTCTAGCTGAGGCAGCAGCAGGAAGAAAGGCCATGTGTGTGGAAGGGGCAAGCGCTGCGATGGGGGAAACTGGATGGGAGCTTGCAGAGGCCCGCCTTCAAAAGCCAGAGGAAAGAGTGAGTCTGCACTGCTACTACAGGACTTCACCCAGCCTGGGCCTGGATATCCGTCCAACCATCAGTTCACATCTGCTCCCTGGATTAGCCTGCATCATGCAGAGCAGGCACTTAGAGGCACAGTGATAGTGGAAGAAGGTGCTGGAACAAGCTGGGTCCCACAGTCCCTGCTCAGTCAACCAAGCATCAGGCCAAGACATCAGGTGAGGACCTCCCCTGGGCCAGCAAGTCTGGGAAGGTCATTGACGGTCATTTCAGCAGGTCCCTCTGTCTGGCCAGTCTTTCTGCTCCTGAACCCATTCACTTTCTGCAATACCTCAGGCAAGCCACTTCGTTCTGCTCAGCCTCCGTGGGCCCTGGTGGTGCTGGTGTCTCCGTCATGGGGTTGCTGGAGGTGCTGACAGGAGCCACTCAGCAAAGGGGGATTAGTTCCTGTCGTCCCCACCACCGTCTTCTCCATCCTCCACCCATTTCTATATCACAATTAGTTCATCTGGACCCGTTCTTCCAGGCCAGAAACCAAGTCACCTTGATTTGTGCTCACAAAGGCCTAGCTCTCAGCAGTTTAGAGTCATGGTTCTCAAAGTGTAATCCAGAGAGCCCCGAGGCCCAAGACCCTCCCAGGGGGTTTTCAAGGTGAAAATCACTTTCATGATAATGCTAAGATGTTTTTCCCCTGTCGTGTCCTCTCATGTGAGTACAGAGCATCTTCAGGAGCGACGTGTCATGGCATCGTAGCTCTGACAGCCCAGGAGATGTGGGCTGGGTATTCTTGTGCTTTAAAAGTCTCTCAGTTCTATACCCTGGCCGGGTGGCTTAGTCAGTTGGAGCATCGCCCAGTACACCAATAGGCTGTGGGTTTGATTCCTGGTCAGAGCACATACCTATATTGCAGGTTCAGTCCTTCATCGGGGCACATATGAGAGGCAACCAAATCAATGTTTCTCTCTCTCTTTCTCTCTCTCCCTTGCTCTCTTTCAAAACAATAAAAACATATCCTCGGGTGAGAATTTTTTATAAAAGCCTGTCAGCTCTAATCCTATGTAATAAAAGTGTAATATGCAAATCGATTGATTGGCCAAACAGCAGAACGACCATCTAGATGACCATCTGGGACCACGCTATGACACCCACTGGCGCCAGGCCAGCCAAGGTGGGTGTGATGCGATTGGCGAGGGACCCGGCCATCGCACCATGTTCGCCCCGCAGAGGGAGGCCCAGGCTACCGGCCGTGGGCTGTGGCAGGTGGGCCGGAAGCCCGGGTCCTGGGTGCCCGAGGGAAGCCAGTGCCAGCAGCCAGGGGAAGGAAGGCCTGCTCTTGCACGAATTTCGTGCTTTGGGCCTCTAGTTTCAAATAAAAGCTCATCAAAGTCCTCAATAACTTTTAATGAATTGATTAAGAATGTAAAGGGATCCTGAGGCCAAAATGTTTGAGACTCGCTGATTTAAACTGGGCTCAAACCCAGGCTCTGTCCTGAATGACTATGAACCTGGAGCAAATTACTTTAAACGTGTGAAACCCCAGTTCTTCTTCATCCCGGGAGGCAGATGGGAAATGCTGGGGACAAACACAGCCGTGCACCCAGGTGGTAAACCCGGGCGCCCCCTGTACTGCCACTGCCCGCTCCTCTGCAGGAGGCTGCCGCTCCCGGCCTGGCCTGCGCTCGGAGGACCCAGCGCCCTGCGGTGTTGGGAGGGACTCTTAGCAGCTATTCAGAGCCCAGCAAACAAGAACAAGTCAGGCCCCTACCCTGGAGCATTCATACAGCCTGGCACCTTCCCCAGGCCGGCGCCCAGCCAGCTCCCTGAGTACACATTTTCCTACATGTCCAAGGTGTGAGAAAAGTAACACATTTGTTGCTGATCTTGTTGGGAAAGGCCTGGTTTTAAGAAGTGTGTTTTGAATTTGTTGTGAAGTACATTCTGTAATTCCTGACCAAAATACCAGCTGACGTAAAAGAAGCTCCTTCATGGGAAAAATATTTTGCTTGGAGATGGACCCCTGGATGTTCCTGTGGGGAAAGTGGCTCTTCCTCACGCCGGAGCTGAGGGCCAACCAGCCCCCGCGACAGCCACGGAATCGGCCTGGGCTGCTGGGCCACTGCTTCAGAGGGGACCGGGGCCAAACATCCCAAGGAAGCCACAGGGTGAAAACGCTCTTCCAACTGAAAAGAAAACTCAGTGTAGTGGCAGTTACAAAATAAATATACAAAACCTTGTGGCTTGCCAAAGGCCCCAAAATAACTACAGCAAAATATATTGGAAAAAAGATCTCATTCACCATTCAATAAGAAGTTAGGAATAAACCAAGCAAGGAAACACACACACAGGACAGGAGGCTGCAACTCTGACCTGAGAAATACAAATTCTGAAGTCAATGGAGAGATCCGACATGTCCCTGCATAGAAAGACATAATAGTGTCAAAAATGTCCATTTTCCAGCAGGAAATATTGGAAAAGCAAAACAGGTGGGTGGGGGAATGAGATGATCAGATAGAAAAGGTAAAATCTTTTAAACATTGAATTCCTAATGCAAACACGGAATGGCAAAGAATAGAAAATCTAAATGTGAACCTGAAATTATACAAATATTTAATATGTGAAAAGATGACCTTTCAGATTAGTGGGGAAAGCGTGTTTTCCCATAAACAGTTTGGGCAAATGGCCAACCCCTTGAAATGAGACAAAGCCAGACTCCTATTTCTTATTCTAGATGGATGAAAGATTCAAACGAAAAACGAAACCGTAAAAGCCTATTTCAGTGAATACTTATGTAATCTTGGTGGTAAGGGAAAAGTTAATAAGCATGAAACCAAAGATTAAAACAATAAGGGAAAAGGGAAAAGGATTTGACCTGAAAAAACAAAACAAAACAAAACTTCACTGTGTCAATCAACACAAACAAATCTTCTCTTTAGATTTGCGCATAAAGAATTGCAAATAAATGTGTGCTTTCAAATGGTGCTAGGAAGAACAGTTCTTGATTATAGGTGATCCTTGGATGAGTCTTTTAAATTTTAATGATTTTCTATGTATTGTAAGGTCTGTTTGAAAAGAACTGGTTTTCCATTTATGGGAGAGCTATGATATTTCCTTTTAAATAAATACATTTAAGTAAGGGGTTGATTTGAAGAACAAGGCTAATGACATACAGCTCGTTCAAGTACATGGCAAAACTCAAGACCCTGACAAGGAAAACGAATGCGATTTGCTGCTGTAGGCCAGGGGCAGCCGTGGCAGGTTTCCTGGGCTGCGGTTCAGGACTGCCAGTAGGAAGCACGGAGAGATGAGGGGATCCTGTGAGAGGGGGTCCATCTGGAAGGAATGTGGACAATCAAGGCAGTGGAAGTGGAGGGTAAGAATGAGGGCATCTCAGCCATGGGAAAAACGTTTGGAGGGGATCCCCTGGCTTCTGGTAGGGCCTGAACAAGGCAGCAATTAGAAGCACAGGCTCTGATGCAGGCAAGATTCAAGTCCTGGCTGATCTCCCCAGGCAAGGCACTGAATCTCTCTGTGCCTTCGTTTGCTCAGGTGTGAGCTCACCTCACGGAGCACTGACTGTACCTCAACCCCCTCCCCTGTGAAATAGAGTCGCACAGAGCCCTCATTTGCAGGGTGTGTAAGC